ATTCTGCCCCTGTGATTATTCAAAGGTTGCCATTATGTGCCCTGTCTTCCTCACCAATTTTCGACCCTAATTCCAAGAAACAGGCCGCGTGGCCTAATGGTTAAGGCGTTGGTTTTCGGCACCAAAGATTTGTGCGTTCGAATCGCACCGTGGTCGTTTATATTTTTTTTACTCCTTACCACACCCAGTGGCGTAACCAACGGTTCCTACCCACCTTGAAAAGGCGGGGTGGGTGTGTGCTGTCTGCAAGGGAGACTCTCCTGCATAGTCTAAGACTGAAATAGAATGAACAAATAATAATAGTGATGGTGATACTGACATTAAATTCAGCAGTTAGTGTGAACCCTTCACTGCTAGGAAACCAAGCCGAGCAAGCACCAATTGAAAAGAATCTTGATAGGGAGAAGCAAAACGGCCTGGAACCCATTCCCAAATGGAAAACAGCTTTATCAAACTCTTGAAATATACAACCTTGTTCCTTGGGGTGAAACATTGTATTGTATCTTCTCCCATCTATTCCTGAAGTCTGGATGGACACACTAATAACCAGGCATATTCGAGGGGGTTTGGCACAGAGATCGAACCAGCCCCAGCCCTAGCAGGGTCAAACGGAAGCCCAAAATTAGTGCTAAAAGACTTCGGGCGTCATCAGGACAGTGGGCCCCCGAGATTACTAGCGTCCGCTTGGTTTTGTTGTTCGTGTTTCCGACAATGGCGGCGCTTACATCGGTGGGACTTTGCTATCGATAAGATCAGGATTGCGCTTCAACAACGGAATATCTACGGCTTTCAACTAATGTTCCAGTCGCAGCTTATTCATCACCTGAGAAATATATTTTTCCAAAAAACTGCGAGTTTGAGAAAGCCATGTTAGAAATACATACCTTGAGGCTATATACTGCTGTCCAATATCATATCCCCTGCAAAGACATGAAGAAGTGGTGGCTTCCTTGTCAGTATGTACAACATCTCCGCCATTATTGGCGTCTGTACTGCGTGGCTACAGACCTTGTAAAATAGATACCAGTATCCTCCTAAGGATGTCGTCTCTCGAAGGTAACAGGCCGTGGGAGGTTATTTAATCTCTCTTCACGTTGACCAAGATCTTCAACTTTACGGCCGGAAACCCGCATGCCGATAATACTTAATTGATCAAGAGAGATGATGATGGAGTAGCTGATGTTGATTAAACCCCATTGTTAGACGGGTCTGGCACAAAGTTGTATGAGAACACGACATATATGGTTCCTTTAAGATGTGTGTATAGTAACTACATACGTAGGAAACCGTACTCCAATGAGGGGAGTAGGATGCTTCTGACAGAGTGATGATCATTTCCTCAAACCGTGGTTCCCGTATCCCCACTGTAGTTCTAGAAGGCAGTAGAGTTTGCATGGATGGGGAAGGATCGTTAAGAGAATGTTCCCTGAAATGTGCCTGTAACATATAAATTATGCAACCATTGTCAACGTCTAGGGCGATGGATGCCACCAAGACCGGGAGGTTCCTTGCTTGTGTAATGGAGAGAGAATAAATGGTTTTCAAGAACACGCGAATGAGTGAACCCAGCTCCTGGAGTGATGTTGAAGTAAATCCTAGAGGCTGGCAGCAATCATGGTTATTGTAAAGAGTTGGCGTCCTTAGAATCCTGCTTCATAAAATGGTGCATTACCCCTTTCGTCAAAGGCCGTCGCGAGAGAGAAGATCTACTCCGTAGTCGGTACGGGCTTGTCCAAATCCCTCCTCTGCAAAATTTAAGTTGGCCCATGCAGGGATAGAAGGGGCTTGGCTTGAAAAGAATGAGATTGATCCTCGCATATTTCCCTTTGCAGGGTATCATTCCCTTCACTTTCTATCTGCAGGATAGATGCACCCCATATTTTGACATCTTGGTCATTGAGATCTTCAAAGGTTGAATAATTGTCTGAACTTAGTCTGCTCGAAATAGATTTCGCAGATCACGTTTTGATTCCTTCTTCCCATAGTCGTCCAGGAAGGGGAGGAACAATTTAGAGACTCTTGTCATAGATCTCGAAACCAGAAGAGTACTTCAAGGAGTGATGCCCAACCCCTTCTGATTCCCTGAATCGTAGTAAGATTAAGAAACTAAAACATCCCACCTTTTTGATGCCGCATTTTAGCATCGAGCCGAGGAACGGGGTTGTCTCTGCCGGTCCTATCAAAGAGAAAACGCAAAGCACCCGCATTAGCGTGCTGCTGGAAAGCAAAAAGGAAGCCTTTTGGAAAAGAGAAATGAAAAACAAAGTTCTCACCCATCAAGCCATGGCTTCTCGGGAATACGGGAGGACTTGCCCAAGTAGTTGGCCTATTAAGTTGTGCAGCCCCTGGCATTGTGGCGCTTCAAGGTGCGGTAACGATTGCATGGGGATTTATCTGATCCTTGACGCCGTGGCCAGTTAGATTGCCGGTTAAACGGAGTTGTCTAAGGAATCATACATAACGATGACACTTGACGCCCGAGTCTCCCAGGGTTTAGAGACATGTGAATGGATGGGAGGAGGGTAATGAAGCCACCGTTTTGGCAAGGGGATGGAAATTTTCTTCTTCGGGGTCTTGTTGTTGAAGGTTAGATTGATGCTAGATTTGAGGCTGGAAGGATAAAGCGAGTGGATGTCGCAAAGGCATTGGTCTCCAGTTTACAGGGCCAAGCAGAGATTTGTTCGTTGGGTAGGAATCACATATTTTGAATTTACAAGCGGGGTGGAACTTGGATAGGGATGATGAAGGAAGGTGGGAATTGTGCCTCGGCAACAAAGTGACCGAGGAGGGGCTGGTCTTCCAACAAATCAGGACCCGTGGCCCAATTGGCAAGGCGTTTGACTACGACTTGGTCTCATCAAAAGATTGTGGGTTCGAATCCCATCGGGTTCATTTTTTGTTCTTTTTTTGGTGCTTCCCATGCATGGAAGTTTTTTCGAGCGGGTAGGGGATAGTATTATTTTTTCCTTTTTTTTAACCTTTTCCAAGTGCATGTGGGAAGGGAATGAGGAAATCTTCACTTCTCTAGTTAGCCGGCTCTTCACTGCAACCCCTTCATCAGTGGAGGTAGGTCGGGCCCTATCTCTTTACTGGCCCTGCTTCTCTCTACCTAATCAAACAACTCTCTTCCGCTTCGTCTAGTAGCATGTCTACATAGGAAGTTCTAGGATCTCCAGGGAAGCCCTCAGTATCCGGTTTTTAGGGCAGCGGGCAAGTACAGTCCCCACTCCCTCTGGACTTCAAACTGCGTATTGATGCTAAAAGGAAGCATTAGACCACACGGCTGTGGCTATGAAGCAATACATGATTAGCACCATACACCAATATGTTTTCGCCCAGGGGACCATGTTCTTATCTAGTACCTCAACAACCGTTATGACACCCACATTTCCAGAGCCTACTCCGAATTCGCAGACAGATACGCAGGCCCAAGAAGAATTCAGAGATCGATGTCAATAAGATGTCATCCTCAGATAACTAGAGCCTTACTTTAGTTCGGCGCATGATGTCAGACGTTTTTGATGGCATCTCTTCAATCTCAATCATCACTGAATCAGTCAAAACACTTTTGATGGACGGAATAATGAACTTTGGCTATGCTGAAGTCATACAGCTTTGGAAGCTCTTTAGTGAGCCTAGCAAGAGAAATAATGTGGCTGGGTAGAGCTACAAATCATTTTGCCTCCATTAAATGTCCCAAAGGACCGTCACTGAATTTTACCATGCAGCCATCTTCAAGCAGCAATTAAGCAATGAGCTAGAACTTTTGCCAATGTGTACAGTCTGCACATATACTTTCAGAATGATGACACACAGGCAGACTGGGTAAAAATTTTTAATCCATCTGTAGCACATTTTGGTCACCCTCCTCAAGAAGTTATCGTTAAGCCTACTGACCCCTTGCTATCATCGATCATACAGGGAAATTTCACCAAGATGCTCACTGTAACACACCAAACCCCTGAGAGAAGTCTAGTCATGGTTCACTATGCAGGGTATAGGCCTCTGAACCGATTTGGGAAGCTGGAGGGATGGTATCAAAGTGCTAATGTTGTTGCCAAATAGAGGGGTAAGGGGGACCTACCATCCTTCGCGGACGTGGCGACGATTAGAAAGAAGAATTTAGCATGGATAGAAGCAAGTACACGTACTCATGCTTTTCTCTGTCCATATTTCCGGATCGTTGACGGATGATCCCCTTAAAGATCTTGTTAACCGGATTCGGACGCTTGATTTGTCAATGGGTATCAGCTTCGACAGTGTCAGGAATAAGTGACTGCCACAGCAGACAGAATATATCAACTGAACTATGTCGGGTTGATCATTAAAGCGCCATTCAACCGGAAATCAGAGTTATCATTAGTACCACTTGGGGGGGGGGGGTTGAATCTACAGTTACCCTTTTCCTTATACATGTATAATAATTCCTGGGATTATAGGCATTTTTTAATTTCTCTGTACAGGTTTTCCGTGGGGTTTCGGTTCACATGGGTAACGCCTAGGGGTTGGAATTATCTCTAAATGAAAAGGTTTCCAATTCTACCGTGGGTGATTAGCCACTTAAATATATATTTTCTACAACCAATGACCATAACACTCAATCAGGAAACAAGCACCTAGATATAAACTACATATTACCTTGAGTCTTATGTCCATGAAGCTTATTTTTTCTCCCCATGAAGAGTATAACGAAGTAACCTGCTTACTGCTAGGCATTGCGTTGAATATCTATGTAATGCACGCCCGCTATATTCCCCCTTACCACACGGAACATGATATCAAACATCCACTTCTATTCTTTTCATTAAACTATCATCCTTTTGGGGAGAAAAAACAATGCTGATAATGCACATACCTCATCTGCTTCAATTGCCAAGCGCGTAATCGTTCCAACCCCTCATCTATCTATTCCCCCTCTCCCACCCGCCGCAGAAAAAAAAATTTGATACAGCCACACAACCATTCCAAGAAGCAAGCAAGCACAAAAAGCAAAAAAGAATTGAACCCGATGGGATTCGAACCCACAATCTTTTGATATGATAATCGTAGTCAAACGCCTTGCCAATTGGGCCACGGGTCCGGGAATTGATGGTGGTGGGATGGTGGTGGCTCGTTTTGTTATTGCATTGTGTGGGAAGCGGAGCGGAGCGGTGGATGGGTGGATGGGTGGGGTGGAGAAAATTTGTGCACGGCTGCGGTGAAAAAAAAAAAGGAAAAAAGGGGTTTCTTTCGTTAACTTCCGTAAGGCTGAAGTTCAACCCGAAGGAAAACCGAAGCCCAACCGGGGCGAAAAAATAATGATAGAAAACTTGCGCGGGCCGGAGACTGTGTGTCAAGGAATAAAAAAAAAAGATTCAAAAAACAAAAAGATAAACCTTTGACTGAACCCGATGGGATTCGAACCCACAATCTTTTGATGTGATAAGACACAAATCGTAGTCAAACGCCTTGCCAATTGGGCCACGGGTCCCGCTTGATGATGTCAAAGGGCGGGCGGATGTTCCTATGTGCGAGAGGCAGGAAAAATGGGAAATAAAGTTTCGCTTGCCCTAAGTTAACCACATAGTATTACCACAGTGAAGCGGAAGAAACGCTGTTTAATATGCAAAGAGAAGTCATTATTTTGCAATTTCATGACAATATTATAAATATACACAGATAAAAATAGAAGATAACATTACCCACACACAAACACAGACGCAGACACAGACAGAACAGAAAGATCAAAGATCGCCCACTGGTATCTGGCTGATCACTCGACAGTTTGGACCCCTTATCGATTCCCCCCCTCTCCTTTCACCCCATCACCCTTTTCCTTTCCACAGTCTAACCAGTCTTAAACTTCGCCGGCCCTGCCCACAGCCTCAACCGCTTCCCAAAATACTGCAAACCAAGCACCATCAAAAACGCAAACGCAGAAATACCCGTCATGGTCCCAAACTGCCTGATGGTCCCCTGGTCATTCGCCCACCGGACCATAAAATAACTAACAATGAACCCGCCCGTCGTGCGGCCAAAATTGATCCACGCAGCGACCTCCCCGCTAGCTTCCGGGTAGCTGTCCAGCACGTATGCGTTTGTTGCGACAGTGGTGATCATGATGCCGAAGACAAATAGGCCCCAGCCCAGCGAGGCGAGCATGTAGTGATACTGCCGTTCAAGCGCGAAGCCGAGCAGGATAAGGCCCGCGAAAATGAAGGGGGTGGAAATCCAGACGGCTGCGTATCGGGCCTCGGGCTCTAGGCGGCCGTTGTTGCGTTTCATGGCGATCTTGGCGATTAGGTCGTGCAGCCAGTGGCCGACTATTTCGCCGAGAATGGCGGCTGTGACGGGGGTGAAATAGAAGAAGCCTGTTTTTGGGCGTTTTTCGGTTAGGAGATTTTTTTTGTTCGGTGGGTATGGGGATGGTTACCTATCTGCTTCGGGCCGAAGCCATAGAGGGGGCCCAGGAAGATGGAGAGTGTGGTGTTGACGCCGACGACCCAGGAGAACGTCATGCCGTAGGCCAGCATGGAAATGAACACGGGGGGCTTGCAGATGATGATAATTGGTCTCATGCAGGCATCCTTAAAACTGTTCCGCAGATGGCGCGACTGCCACTGTTCAATCCCGACCAGTCGCTTCCACCTGGGTCCACGCGCGGGCTGCTGCGACTCGGGAAGTTTACGGTCATAGTATGTCTCATCAACGAAGAAAACGAGGAGAAATAGACAGAGACCAGTCATTATGGAGTAGACGCCAAAGGCCCATTGCCATTTTTGGGTGTTAATGATGAAGGCGGTTAGGAGGGGCCCGAGATACGGGGAGACGATGATGAAACTGGACCAGACATTGATTTTACGGGCATGTTCATGGAAGAAGAACATATCTTTGATGAACATGAGACCGCCCTAGAGATATATTTTTAGCAATTACCCAAGACGAGAGTGATGCTATGCGACTTACTCCCTGGGCAACGGTGGAGAAGAAGCCGTTGAGAATTCTGGCAGCCTGTCCATAAAGTAAATTGGTTAATAGAGTCTCGCAGGGGGTGGATTAATCATACACATACCATGAATGATTCGAAAGTTACAGCCGCCGCACACCACGCAGCAGTCGCAGTCGCGAGGACTGTGAACCAGAAGAATACTGGATATCGGCCAAAATACGCAGCGAGTGCAACAACGACAACGCCGCCGGCACCCAGCATGAATACATTGCCGACCTGGGAATGATTCACGTTGTCCTCGGTCATCGCCCACTGCCTATTTTCATAAAAAGAAGTCAATGATATCGATCATCTTTCGGGTTGGTTGTCTTCTTTCCCTCCCCCCTTCAACACAACGCGTAGCGAAAAAAAAGAATCCCAACATACACTGCCTGCGGGATCAAGGTAACCGCCCCTGTTGCGCTTCCATAATCCGGCAAAAAAGCCGTCATCGAGATAACGATTAGAATAAGGTGCTTTTTGAAGCTGCTCCAGTTAAGCGGGTCCATTGGCGACGCGGACGGCTGCGGGATGAGAATGGTGCGGCCATCTTTGGTAGCCTGTAGCCCTCTATCCTGCGCAAGAGAGGTGTCGAGCACATAGCCTTCTTTCTCGCCGTCTGCTTCGAGGCTGTCAATGGCGTGGTTAGAGTCATTAGAAATGCCCTTTTCGTGGTCGGACGTGTTCTCAGAAGACGACTGCGTGGGAATGCCTTGTTCGCCCATTGTTGTGATCTGCTTAAGTTAACTAGCAAAGGAGAAAGGGGGAGAATAGAGGGAGAAGAAAGGAAAGGAAAGGAAAGGAAAGAAAGAAAAACTATAAACGAAGGAATACAACAACAATTACAACAACGAAGATGGAGACCAATGTGAAGATGGAGATGGAGAAGAATCAAGCCAGACTCCCAAGTGGGAAATGCCTCCATGCGCAGTCTCTGCAGTGTCTGCCTCCTATCCCTGCCCACATACACACACCAGCACAAGAGTCAATGCCCCCAGACAGCAGTTCATGCTTCATTCAGGTAAAGACACCACGCCCGGCTCGGAGCAATTGCCGCCTCGAAGGGTCAGTGGCCCGCATGCACCTCATACAATACCCTGACACAATCAAACAATTGCCAAAACCTGAGACAGCGTACAGAGGGGACAACTGATCCCTCTCAGATCTGGCTAGAACCCCCGGGTCGTATGCATGGTGTGGTAAATATGGTCGCTAATTTCACCTAGATTACCCCCTGGATGCTTGTCGTTCTCCCGCCATTTCAATGGCCATCGGCGGCTGTTCGACATCGAGCGTATTTTAGGGTTGCGCCGTTGGGACGCCAAATCCACCACCAAATCAAACTGCACTGGCCCCCGTCAGATCCCCGTCTGATCACCCCAGGCGCCTTGCAAGGTTTGTGATTACGGAGCTAAGTCCGGTCACCATCTCTCTTCCAGGCCTTCCCCTCCCCCAGGCTCCCCGGCAAGACTGGCGCTAATGATGGCCAGAAAACCGACAACGAATACGGAAGATAGGCGCGGCATCTCTGTCCAGGGGTCGGAATCCAATCAGTCATGCCTAGAGACGCAGCTATGTTTTTGTGCATTGTCATATCAACATCAGGAGTTAGTTAGCTCTGGGGAGGGTCCCTGAAGTGTATGTTCCGTATGGTAGTGGAGTTAATAAAAGGCCCATAGATTAAACATGATTGTCTCCTTCAATTAAGTTGTGGGGAGCTAATAAGTTGGTTATAAATGTGCTTAAAAATTAATTAAATATCTCTGTCCCGCGGCAACTGAAACTGGTCGACGATCTAGCCCTTCGAAGTGCTTCTGCATCTAATCGTGCCTTCACTGCTGCACCTCTCAGTCCCACCTTCTAGGTGCGCCACACCGATACGATAAAAACACCGATACAATAAAAAGTGAGACTAGGTACCTTTTATATGGCTTCCCCATATAAAAGATACTTATTCTGATTTTTTTAAAAAAATTAATTTCTCAACCACCACACCAGATATGAAGCTCATATTGGAATAGAACATACACTGAATCCTAGTGAATATGATAGTATTAATAGAATCTATTAAAAATTGGTTATTCTCTTGAGATTGGGATAAAACTGAAAATACACTAAAACTGTGCCTAAAAATAGAAAAAATGAAAATGAACAAGAAAATCTTAGATTTATTTAAATAAACATATTTCTTATAGCTTTTAGATATTCCTGCTGAAGTATGAAATCTATATCTTGTGTGGTGGTTGAGAAATCATGAAAAAACCAAAAATTGAAAATAGGTACCTTTTATATGTGTTCCCCATACAAAAGGTACCTAGTCTCACTTTTTATTGTATCGGTGTTTTTATTGTATCGGTGTGGTGCACCCACAACGGGAGAAGTGGGTGAAACAGCAAAGGCACGATTATCATCAGGCTAACAAAACTACTAGTAGCTAGTTAACTACTGCTAGAGGAATAGATCAGAGCATGGGGATTGTATGAAGTCCCCCCCCCCCAAAAAAAAAGTAACCAGGGGCTTCCTCTCTTGAAAGTACCTTTTGCTTTTAGCCTAGGCACAACTACACTTACCGTAGTCAACCCGCATCGGAAGCCGGGATAGTTTCCGTTATCTATCCCTACTAGTATCCCTATCCCTCCCCAGAGCTAGACTTAATGTCGACCATGCTCTTTGGCTTCTTGATGCGGGAGGAAAGAATCGGCTAATAGTATCGTCGATCCATTTTCGTTTGCTAGACGTTCTTTCGTATTTTAAAATCTTTTCTGGAAAAGTTTCGGAGAAGATTGGAAAGCGGGATATATTCCCCCTTGTAATAGTAATTAGACTAGAAAAAGGAGGGGGGGGGATTCTGGTGGTCTTTCCGTACCTGGTTCATATTGCCATGGAGTATGGATGGAGTTCGTGAGTAGTTAATGCGTTAGGGCTGGCAATTGTGATTAATAAGAGATGAAGTCAAGTCTTTCTTGATTAAAATTACAAGAAGTTATCGATTTATCTATGAATATAAATCGTGGAAAAATATTAATACTGAGAATCAAGAGAACAAAAAATCCCCTCTCTATCCGCTCTCCACACTCTCTGCTTTGCTGCTTTTTCCCTTCTGCTTTTCCCCT